ACTGATTGTTTGTGGCCTTGTACCAACATTGTCATTTAGTACTCCAATGTTCCTAGATCCATCTTGTCTGGATTGTTAAGCACGTAGATATGACATTTCAGTTTAAAGGGACATTATACGATTCAAGAGCAGTATTGGCATCTCCAGTAATCTTATTTCTTATGCTGTGTAATATGCCAAAGAGAGTATACGATCTACAACTTTTGTCCATGAGCTGAATTCTGTTTGGTTTCCTGAGAATTCCCTACGGCTTTTTACAGTATCTGGAACTCTATCTATTGTTTAAATCTCAGTAACGCTGGTAGCTGTTGCACCCAGAGCTAACTAACAATATGTTATTTGCCATTTCTCTATTTTCTAAACGTTCGTTTTGTCTGATTTGTTTGTCGTCGTTGTTGTTGTCTATTTATGCGCTGTTCACTTACTGCGATTGAAGCGGAAAACTACGCCGCCGATCCGGATTTCATCGTTTTTGAATCTGTATCTACTAGGGATTCTGCGACCAGGCTTTCTTCCTGGGGGCGGACCTGACACGAATTGTTGTTCACCGTTGAGCAATCACACAATTAAGTTCTATTTGGCCTTTTAGCGATTTCAAACTGACCGTCCAAATTAGTTAACGGGAGTTGCACTGGTTTAGTTTTCGCTGCTCTGGCGCCAGTTAATTACTTGTTACTTAAAACGATTAAAAAGTAAATTTCGACTTCGGAAGCTTGTTCCTTTAGAAAGCGTGTTCTTTATTAGCAGTCAGCTTAAATCAGATCTATCCCAAACAAGCTGTGACTTAGCGGCAGCGAACGCAGTGTCGTCGCTGTTGGTGTCAATGGCCCGTTGGGTAAAATGTGTAGAGCTTTTTTTTATTCTTCTTTTGACAGTTGCTGGTTGGCGTGCGCAGGAAGTTTTGCAGACGCTAGATCAGCAATTTGTTGCATTTCTGATCTGACGATGCAATGTGACTTATTGGTTCTCAACTTTGTGTAAATTTATTGATTGCTAACTTATATAACCCTTACTCAACACAAGTTACGTGAAGAATTTCCATCTATTAATATATTATGATAATATTGCAAAAAGTAATGTTTCCAAACATAAAAAATCATAATCGCTATACTTTTCGGTATAATCGCTATAGTTTTCCTACTTCGCAAGCATTCGTAAGCATTGATACCTTGATCTTGCCGCTCATAAATCTAATTTCACTAAACAACATCAATTTACTTAGACAACAAATAACGGTTAAGTTTTCAGAGGACAAGTGTTTTTATATATTCTTGCGTATAATCTCGTATGTCGGTTTATATTTAACATATAGATCAGGCCGTATACTCACTATATCGATATCATCCTTCCAGCATGGAAATGGAAAAGTTTAGTAGAAATCGCATAATGAACTGAAATAACTCAGTAACTCTGTGACGAAAAATAAGCGTAATGAAAATCAAGCAAAAAAAGTATAGAAAATCGTAAATTATCTCAATTCACCTAATTTAGAATAAATATTCGTGTTGACTGCACAAGATAAGAAAGATATAGTGAATATATCTGCGCCCAATGGGGCCGTGGCAATTCTAGTAAAACACCATATTCTATAATGTCAAGTGTTTATCACATCCGGCTCAATCACTGATTAAATCTACTCAATAAGTGAGTCTCTATTCCCAAAATTCGTGATGGTCTCCTGCTACGCGATTACATTTTGACATGACAGTGATCGTGAAAAAACGCTTTCCATCGATTAATTGCTATCTAATTATTTTTGAGCTGATGGTTAGCTAACATGTTTATGTCCTATTACCACATAAAGGTAATGATGAAGTTTGTCAGGGACCCATACTTTCAAGTAATTCTATCGATCATTCTCACAGAGCACTTCCTCTATACCATAGACCATCGTGTCCGTTCGCTAAACAGTTTTTAAAGAACGGCCCTGACAAAACACCTGTAGTAGCTTGCCAATCCTATATATCTATAGGGGCTGTTTTTCTGTATACATATATATAACTAGCTTACAAGAAGAAGTATTAAGTTTTACTAAGCTAAGAGTTTAATACTATTAAAAATAAAAGTCATAAAGCCAAATTACAATTAGGTTGAACATTGCGAACTCGGACTGCTTATATTAATTTACTTTACTATTAACTTATATTTTTGAACATGTGACTACCATAAAATCTGGAGGATCAAATTTATCTTGTGGTGAATACACAAATATTGAATTTTTGATACCTAAAATACGAAATTTGAAAAAAAAAATCGGTTTATATTAAATAACAAATGCGTGGGTTGAATATCGTTACTATACTCTAACAATTTCGTTAAGAAAATTCAACTGTAACAAAAAATATTCAACAATCAAAAGTTTGCAGTTAGATGAACGCCTGCTTTTATGTACTTGGGTATCAGTTATTAAACAACACATTTAGCCAGCTTGCCCAAGCACGTGGCAAGCGCCAAGCGTACGCTTTTTTCCTTTACATGTACACACATACATTCAAAAGCGTTTATTATTTGTTATTCGAAGCATCGAAATTGCGTTGGATTTGTGTTTGTATTGTCAGCTGATACTTAACTTGGATTTCCAACTGCTCAAGCAGTGAAGTGATGGTGTTGGTAGAGGCAGCGGTCGTAGACGCTAGTTCTGGTGCGTCGAGCCAGGCGGCGGACCGATGTTTTTTTATGTGATTTACTTATTTTGTGTCGATGTGTCGGTGTTAATAAAGTTCATGCGCATTGCGTAGACAACTTTGAGATTTCAATTTCGATTGAGTAATTCTATACTATACTTGAGAAGGAGGAAATCTATTTTTACACTGGGACGAGCATGCAGTATCACATGTATAACTATTTAAATACCTGTGTGCGAAATTAATGTGTTGCATTAGCAGTATTATCGCTGACGAAAGGACGGCTTGCTGACTTTGTAGCCGAGTATCTAACAAAATTTTGTGTTAAGCTTATTTTGAATATTTCATGTTTGCTAGTTTTAATTTGATTTGAAATAAAGACAGTAATATGAGTGTTCCATCGTTACTCCTGCATGAGCCACAAGGCCATTAATTGAAGATCTTTATTGAAGATCACCATTTACTGGTGGAAACCTGAGGGACGCAAGAAGAAATTAATAGGCTTCCAACGTATATTAAAAATCTATATCTTACTGAGTCAAGAACCACACCTCATCAAGTTAGTGGAGTGTTCAAGCATAAGATCTAAAGATATTTTTGTGACGTTTACTTCTTTGAATTATATTTCTGGGCTGCAATTGTACTTTGACTTGCGTTTTGAATTTGACTGTACTGCCAGCGGCATAAAATTCTATTTGAAGGATTGACGTGAAGTGAAGCGCACTACAAGCTATCACAAAATTAACAAACAAGGTCTGCGGAACTGCAAGAGCCCTATTAGTAGCGCACAACACAGTACGAAACTTTGACGCAATAACTGACAGTTATGCAGACAATATATTACAATAGACTAGAGGCCAGAGGCAGTCACGAGAGCGGTTGGAAGTCGGACTTATGGGGTCGTTCCCAGTTACCACTTAGTCAAAGGCAATTTTGCGGAAGACGAATTAAAAATTTTAATTGTCATTAGAGCAACCAAAAAACTACACAAAGCCCGTTAAGGCACTTAGGGGAGTCGTGCCGGTTGACTCCCTATTTAAAGTTGGCTCCATACGTGGCACAACAGCTCGAAAGGCAAGTGTTGGGTAGTCATTTTGAACACAAAATCCCATTCTTTCTACTGAACTGAAGACTTGCTACAAAACAAAATTATTCGCCCCTCAAAACCCTCATATAACTGAATGACTTGGATTGTCGACAAATAAGGGTATAATGCGTAATCAAAATGCTTGCATTCCAAGAATGTAAGAAGAATCCAAGACTTTTCTGTTAGGCTTAGCTAGCTATTACCAGAATTTCATTCAGGATATAGCAACAATCTGTTTATGGTATTGGGTCTGTCCTCTCACAAGACTAGGGACATTTGCCAAAGGAAAATAGTTAGGATCAAAAACAACCGTGCTCATAGAGCGGCTCAAGAAAACGTAAAACAAATCTTTTGCAATTCCTATTTTCCAAAAATGTCTGATAAGGCAAGGTAATTGCAAAATAGTGCAGACACTAGAGCTACTAAGAAAGGTATTCCAAACAACAGGAGCTAAGTATAACACAACCGATCACTTCGACAATAACAGCAGACAATCGGTTCCACATATTCAACTTTTGCATGATATCCCCAAAATCACAATAATTTATTGGGAAAATTCAAAGACTTTAAGATCTCTGTTGAAAACCCAATTGGAAATCGTTATCGTTAATGCACCCCCGTGGGAGGTCTATGGGGACGGCCTGAGGGAGTTGTACGGAATTTAATACAAGAATAGAATATACTGCACTACTCACTCTTCATAGACGGAGAAACTATGGTATGGCGGTTTCTCAGGCACTACAGCAATTCAACCGAATATTCTGTAATACTGGTCGAGACAGATAGACTAACTTATTCCCATAGTCGCATATGCGAATATTTCTTGATGTGAATGCCAAGCCCATCAGAAACGTGTTGTCCGCTTTGGCGAAAGAAATTAAAAATATCCGACGCACTACACACCACGTCAAAAAATAGGCAGGTGTTAATAAATACCGAAATTAAAAAACAGATTATCAAACTAATAGCGTGGGTTAACAGATACACCACACCTGAAGAGCTTAGACGGTGTTGGCCCGAAACACAATGTTAATTACTAAGATTCAAAATTTAATGTTTGATGTTGTCGATTGACAGTTAATATAATATCATAAGTCCGACAATTGTTGACCTAATGATTTGAAGTCGATCCTCGTGGAACGCCATACAAAGATGCCTGTAGTAAGTTTAATGGAAGCATCCAATATCAAAGTGCTTCCGACCGATAGCACAATACATATACTAATCGATAATGGTCAAGTAAAAAGTCCACCACCGAATACGCCAAATTCTTTAAGTTAGCAGAACATAACACGTGTGCAAGCAACATACATTGTGCATAGGAGGCTTAATGTCATTCAGACAAGATTATAAAGACCAATCGTGTCTTAATGTCTTTAAAACCAAAAATATATAAAATTACAATATTTGTATACAAATTTGCATATATTGTTTCATTATTAATTCAAATCACATTGGTGCTTTTAAAGAAAAATTAAACAAAAATCGTAAGAACCATATTTGTATAACAGGGAACAAAGGCAAATATTAGAAGATGAGAAATAGATAGAGAACAAATATGGTAATACTGATTTACGCAAAACCATTTAAAGTAATTTGTTCTTCGTTGTTAGTATTTAAGATCTGTCAAATAAACGGTTTTACCCAACAATTTAAAATGCTTTGATATGGTGTCTTTTATAGGTTTTTTCAAACAAAATGTTTTGTGTGCCAAACATACTATTTAAATAAAATTTCAGTTTAAGTTATGCGGGGAAAAATTGTTTTTCGAAAATTTAAGTTTATGCTTCATTACAAGTTAACAAATAACCCTTGCAATATCGTGATATGCAATAGTTCAACCCAACGCAATATGTTGCTGACGCTGGGTCGGCTTTCCGACTGAGTTAAGCTTATTCAGAATATTTCAAATATTTCGATATATATTATACTCGATAGGCAGCGTCACCTTTGATTTCTTACATCTCTAAAAATTAATATTGAATTTAAGATTGCATATTAAATATTTATTATTTGTAGGATGTTTAAGCAAACTTTTAAAAAGTTTAAAAAAGTAAACCCATTGTCTGATCTTCAGGAGGTAATTGACTTAGACAATTACGATGCAAATAATTCCACAAATGGTTTGTGTAATGTAAGTAGACAATACATCAAACTTATTTACATGTTTACATGCATGCATATGCATAGTATGTATGTTCACATAAAGCAAAAAAAAATGTTAATTTGTTTCAATCAACAAACCTATCATTTATAAATTTGTGCTTTATGAGCTCTGCCACGACTCTTCCGGCATTATAAATGTGACATTTTCACAAAACCATTATGCACGGAATTACTATTTTTATTGGGTTCAGAGCTCCTAAAAGTTGTTCAAATACTATTAATAGCTGCCCAGCTATCCCAAATAGCAAAATCCCCATAGTAAATTAGATATTTCCATCTTTTGTCATATTTCAGTTACTCTTAAAAATCCAAATCAAATGTCGATTTGATCGAAAATTAAGAAATTATCAAGCAATAAATGATCGCAACTATATTAGTATCCTCTACAAAAAAGCATTTTTAAAATTGATATTGTCTGCTTATGTCTAAAATCCTAGATAGTAAATCCAAAGGATATCTCCGAAATGGATATACGTAAAAGTCTAGATTTTCCGGTTGGATTGCAGCCACTTCGTATGTGGCGATGTTATACGCTTAAAAAGCATCCTGGTCTTCTGATCATACGCAATCCATTTACATTCAGAGGACAGCGTTACTGGATAGCTCGAAGTCTTCGTGATTACCCTCTGCCACCCAATACTGTGAACTTAGATGCAAAACATTTTTCCTCCAAGACTATATCTGATTGGTGGGGAGAGTTACATCATTGTACTAATCCAAATCTTGTTCATCGTCTTAAGACTGCGATGCGTTGGACAACTTTGGGCTATCATCACAACTGGGACACTAAGGTTTACGATAAGACAATGCACACTCCCTTCCCAAGTGATTTATGTTACTTGTCCAAATATTTTTCACTAGCCCTAGGGTTTCCAAATTTTATTCCGCAAGCCGCAATTGTTAATTATTATCCAATTGGTACTTCTTTAAATGGACACACTGATCATTCTGAGATAAATCATGAAGCACCGCTATTTTCATACAGGTACACATGAAGACCTTTTAAAATATGAATAACTCTTATTTACTATTTATTTCAGTTTCGGACAAACTGCTATATTTCTTATAGGTCACGGTACTCTAGAAGAACAACCTAGTGCTGTGTATCTCCGTAGTGGCGATGTTTTAGTTATGTCAAAGGAATCACGTCTGTGCTACCATGCCGTTCCGCGTATTATGAAAGCATTAGAAGATCCTTGGAATAACTTATTTACAAATCCAAACGAAAAGCTTGACACCTTTAATAGTTCGATGAATTTTGAATTATACGACCAGCTTAATGATGAACTGTTTTGGATGCCATTTAACCGTTATGTTACAGACTGCCGCATAAATATTAATGTTCGTCAGGTCTACTCTTCAGATCGTTAAATATATATAATAATATATTATATATAATGTTATATTATTGCTTGCCTGGTTGTTATATTGATATTTTTATGACCCTAAGATGAGTTTTAATCAAGTAAATTAACTATCTTTAATAAAAAATCTAGCTATGATACAAAAATGCTCTTGGAGAAAATTAAAAATAAAACTACGTTTGATACAAAAAAAGTTTTGCTTAATCATTTTTTTTGTTTTTATTAAATTAATACAAGTTACATTTATATATAAATTAAAACGGGTAGTGCCATCGTCAAGACTGCTGCTTTCTAATTCAATTAATTTCATAGCAATAATAGCAATCAGATGAGTATTTATCAAAGCTCAAGGTTCTGGTATCTGAAATAGTTTTTTGCAATTTATGGTGTAGAAAATGTCTATTAATTTCAGAAAATCTGAAGCCTCCAGCTTTTACGGTATTTCAGCTTCGTTGAATACATCAAATAAATTAAATAATTTGTATCGATAAGAAAGATGGAAAGAATGAGTATATCGTACTGCCTATGTATTACGAGATCCATTCTAACAACTTATCGGCTTAATCATGCTAAGTCAGTGGTCGTAGCCTGAACGCAGGATGAACCATCGTTCGATTAGGGCAGAAGCTAATGCGACCATATTAAATGTATATAGCAGAGCACGCATTTAAAACGATTTGTCTAATCTGAGTAAAAACAATAGTGAATTTATTTACAACTACACGAAAAATCTTGATATATAATAACAAAAGTCATACAACAATTAAGATCCCATTCCTCATTCCAAGTGTAGTTTCTGCGTAAGTCAATATGAAAACTCTTGATTTCGTGCGTATGTATGTATGTATTTGCTATGTATGTATAAAAGAAGCCGATAATCATGGAATATCAATTCTTTGAAGATTTCAGCGTATATCTAAGTCGGGAAATAATCAAAACTACAGTATTCAACTCAGCCTATGGTTTTAAGATTGTCAAGCAATCGTATGTTGGTTCATTTTCCGACAATTACTTTCTTCTGGTATAATGGTTTTGTGCAAATGTATGTAACAGGCAGAAGGAGGCGTGGCAGACCCCATAAAGTATAAAGTACAATATATAATTGTTACCCAGGACGACGAACTGACTCGGTTTAGCCGTGTTTGTATGTATGGACGCATCGATCTTAGAATATATAAAAGCTGTATAGAACGCAGATCTTAATTGTTTCAAATAATATCAAACTTGACTTATTAAACTATATCTCATACGTGTTTGGAAGTAGAGTATACATTTAGCTTTGGTTTCATGTAAATTAATTTTTTTTAAATATATACTATACATACAAAAATATAATATATTTACCATATGCATAGTCTATTAGGTCTGATACCAACACTACATATGAAGTCAGTAAGAATGCTAGCTCCAATAGATTTCAAATTATTCTATAAACAACTTACTCACTGAGTTTACTTTTTACTTGAATGTTATGTATACGTAATTTTTATCTTTCAGAAGTAAAATCTTATGCCAGTACCATGCCATAGGAGGGACAGTATCAAAAAGGCAAATCAATAAAGTGCGTTCAGTTCGACACTCATTCTCGTCTTTCCGCTATTACTATTACATTCGCAATTAGGTAGTTTTGGCTATTAAATATATCCGTTCCTGTAAGGCAAGAATACCTTTATTACTCGTATGACAATTAAAAATGTAATGATATTTTGATACCTTATTTTTATTGTATACAATAATCATATATATTTGTATTCGAATCCAAGCTATTGCTATGAATATCCGTCAGTTGCCAAATGTTGAACATTTTATAGAATATATTTATTTATATACGACTCCATATATACGTCTTTTGTTAAAATAAAACTTAGAAAATAATACTTATCCATTTTCATAATATCGTACAAACCCGAATTAATAAGATAATTTTAAACAGTAGACTAGAACTCTGGATAACAATATTAAAAGGAAAAGTGAAAAGTAGTAGAAAACTCTTAAAGTATTAATACAAAATTAACAGGGTTGAGGTAGTATAACATAAATAAAAAATCCAATAGTGACAGAATATACAAATAATGAAATAAAACATTAAAGTTAGCAAATTTCACCGGGCAACTTTTTTTATTGAATACTTTCACCATCAAATAGCATATTTGAAAAAAAAATGATTAAAAAATAAAAGAAAAATCCCCGATATTAGGACACCAGGCCTCAGACCAACGTCTCTTCGGCAATGCTCATCACTACTACCAGCATCGTCATTTGATTTAAAAAAAAAAATTAATTTAATTAATTAATTAAAATTAAAGCTAATTAAAAATAAAAAATCCGGCGTTCCTTCTAAACTACAGAAGCTGATGAAAATAGATTTAAAATTGCGTTTCTCCGTACAAAAAGGAATGCAAGATTCCCTACGTATATACACGCGTATGGACAAAAATGCGTACGCCTGGCGCTTGGTTTAGTAACTTCTCTAATATAGACAGTCATACTTACAGCCTTGATATATAGCGTTAGATGTAATTGTATTATTACGGAAATATATGTTTTAAAATTCCTTTGTACTTGTATATTTTTATATTGTTAGTGTACCGGTGCGTGTGTTTTTGAACTTGCATAGCGAAAGTATAGTCTACTTTCCAGTTGATGGCAGTTGACTAGTTGCTCACTTCTAATCGGGATTTTAACTTACCTATTAATTTAATAACAAAATACGGATTTAACATGAATTATGAAAATATTTTTATACTCTTTTCTCAATTTGAATAAATAATTGGAGTAAGCCCTACATTTAAGTCGTATTAATAATACTGCTTATATAAAAATAAAAAATATAAAAGGATCATAAAACTAGTAAGAAAGCTCTAGTCGGAGTGCCCGACTAGGAGATACCCTGATCCCAGTCCTCTGAGTTTAATATTTTCCGTAGTTCGTATCGAATATTCCAAAAAAAAAGAAAACAAATAATAAACGACATTGCAAGACTATGTTTCTAACCCGGACTGTATGCGCAACGTGCACCAACTCTACCAACACCGGAATGCAAGTGTTTCCTGCGTTCCTAATAATAATAACTGCGTGCAAATGTATGTAACAGGAAGAAGGAGGCGTGGCAGACCCCATAAAGTATATATATTCTTTATCAGAACGACAAGCCGAGTCGATTGAGCACTGTCCGTCCCTTTGTCCGAATGTGTGAATGCTAGAGCTAGAGACTTGAAATATTTTTTGTAGGTCCGTGTATACGCGCAGGTCAAGTTTGTTTCAAATATTCGATAACTATACGCATTTAATTGTTATCGAATAAAAACATTATTGAAATGCAGTAAATAAATTATATCTCGAACGTCTTAAGATCTAGAGCCTCCAAATTTTGTATTTAGTTTTATGTGGATGCAAATAATATACAGTTATTTTGTATTTCTGTTTTGCTTTGCCTTTGCCCATAAATGTGTTTTTTTTTTTTGCAATCATCGGAATAGACTCAGAAGAGGTTATTATAGTTTCTTATAAGTTGTGTACATTGGAAGTCGCAAATTCTTTTCTAAAGTTATTGTCAATTTATTGAACTATAATTTAAAATAATATGGCAAGTGGTAAAGCAGTTACTTCCGAGAAAAAAGGTAAAATATTGGCGTACCATGACTAAAAATTGACAACTAGAGAAATAGCAACAAAAGTTTCTGTAAGTCAGTCTGTTGTCAGTCATTTCTCACGGGATACATCGGCATTTTAGCGGCAAGTTTGAAATACTAAGTAATGAAAATAGTTGACTATCCCAAAAATATCAATATAAAAGTTGGTAGTTTTTGACCTTCGACTATATGATATATACTATATATATTCACCTAAAAGACTGACGTCAACATCACATGATTATTTAAAAATTTAAAGCAGCCACGTGTCTAATCTAAATAGACAGCAGGTCTTGTCGATTCGCTTTATGACTTTTTATTTTAAATGGCAAACATCTAAGCTCGTACCTGCGCCCATTAACCTTAACCCACACTGCACTATGTTCGCACGGCTGCGTGAATGGTACCCTACTCCCGCACAGGATTCGCAAGCTCTATTCAGTTATGCCGTACATCGGTGTCCTCTTTGGTGGTAGCTCTTGATCCAAGACTTTTTCTTATCTTCGTGGTGGTTAGATATGTTCCTTGGATACTCTTAATATCGATGTATATTGGTTAGATGCATTGACTTTCGGTTCTTTCAAGTTCACTTTCACATTAACTTGCCCTGACGCAGACTCAGCTTCGCGCTGTAAGGGGGCCTAGTTGCTACTGGAGCGGAACGGCAATATCGCTAATCGCGTGACAGACTCCCATTGAAATCACCTATTGCCACGAGAGCAACAGCATCCGCTACTGTTGCATGGGCTCCGAATGGTACTTCGGCTAACTGTCCTTGGGGACCTTTATGTGCCCGAAGCGAGCCCATTGCTGAATCTGTACGAAGGAAAGAGACGAACGCCTGTTCACACACTGAACCTTTCCAGTCATCAGGGTGGCTCTTACAATGCTCGTGTCGCTATGTAGAATAGTATATATATGCACACGTACAAATACACAGCAAATGTATACGCTCGTCAAACACATATAAATAAAAATGTACACTGTGCGGTAACAGAACACGTGCTTATGCGCGCTTGAGGACGTATGAATAAATGTGTTGTTTGTAATGTATGTATTAATGAAGCGTAGAATGAGTGGATTGTCAACTAACCCCTAGATACAGTCCTTCTCTTACTCGAGAAGTCTTGACTAAGGCACTCTTAATTATCACAGAACGAAATAATATAATTTACAAGCAAGGTATGCCATGACAGGTTCTGGATTTTACTTGCCGATGTTACATTTTTGTATTTTAGCTAGATCATATAAAACTAAAAACAAACACTTTTTTAAATGCTTCCTAAGAATTAAGTGCTGAAGGTAATTTATCATTAAGATGTCTATTCCATACTAAATTTAATTTAAGTTATCGTGTAAACATTGTATGGTTTGTTCATTACTTTTGAACAGTGAGATAATATAAGTAGATAGAAGTAGTGAATACAGCCTGCATGAATTTCATTAGGTTTTTGAGGACAATTTTTTATTTTCGTTTTGGTTCCAACATTAAACACAAATTCTCCTCCTACAATTGTTTTTTGCAAGCTTTCGAAATACTTACCATGTTTTTTTTCTGACCACAATATTTGTTTTGTATTAACGCTTGAGGTTTTTTTTTGTAGCAAATTTTAATCCTATTCATATTATCATTGCTAGATATAGCGCTTAAATTGAAGTAAAAAGTTCTTTCACTTATATTCAAACATCTTAAATAGCTAATTTAAATTTAATTTAATAGTATAAAAATTGAACACATACTATTTTTAAAATATAAAGTGATTAACTTGATTACGAGAGCTTTCTAAATGAGGTTAAAGACAATGCAACAATTGAAAAAAATAACGCTATATTCAAAATATACCATTAGTCACCTGCTGACAAAAATTTGAAAGTCAGTGAAACAGTTATTTTATTATTTTTTTGTAAAGTCTGTACAATAATATTGAACTTTCTATCTATTCATCTTATGGATAATTTACTTCAACGCCACATCTTATATTTAACTTATTTAAGAGAATAAGTTACTTTCGTTCTGGCTTTTTGAAAATATGTTAAAAGCTTGATTTACATTATTATAAATTATAGAGCTTTGCAAACGTATATGGCTTAACATAAATGTTATAAATCTAGTCCGTCTTTATGCGAAACATCACACTGTCTCAGTTTATAGCAATGTTTCTATTATAATTTTCTTCAAAATTTTACACATTACCGGCATACATGTAATTACACCTGGAAACACATAATGCACAATTGGAATGGTATAGTTTGATTCTACCAGTTGCTAGATTATACTGTACTGCTATTGAATTAATGAATAATTTAGCGTATTTTATATTACTAGGTATGTTTGATTGTGTATATATGTACACTTAAGTATATTTATGTCCTCAAATTAAATAAAAATGTTCTAAACATATATGCAAACCTAAAAATCTAATTTATATATAAATATATCCAGCTAATTTATAATCTTAAAGTAATTTTTGTATATGCGAGTACGTATGTATGTGCGATTTGTCGTTACGGGTAGACGTTAGTGGGAAGCAACTTGTTACGAAATCTAAAAGCGCACATAATTCAAAAGATAATCGGTAATTCACTTTCTCCTTATACACCTTATTGTGTCTTAAATGAGATATTTCGACTATCGTTTTAATGAAACAATTGTATTCCGCCACATTAAAATTAAGTTAATAAATATTGAGATTAATTTCTTATATTACAAAAGCGTTGCGCTTATTATCTTGGTATTTTCAGGCTAGGGGTCCAAGAGGAACGGCAAATAAATACAAACATTTAAAATTGTTGGAATTGGTAAAAAAATTCTAAAATTTAAAATATTTGAAATAATCTTTATATTTTCCTAGAAAGTTATCATCGACTTGGCGTTACTGGTGAAGCTGGTGGTATGCCTATCATGCTTCCAGGTACACTGCTATGGCTAATACTTGTTCCGGATGCACTTACCGCTATACCTATACTATGCTCAGTATCTTTTTTTGATGAAACGGATGGATGTATCAAAGAATCACCTGTTATCATGTGTTGTACCGCCAAGTTCATAGTGGATGGTTGGGGTCCCTTCCCAATTCCAATTGTAGTCAATTGTGTTTGTGGATTTTGTGAAGACGGTGGTGCATTTGATGAAGCAATAATATTTACACCCGCTGGCTGTATTCGAAGATGTGTGGCAGGAGGACCTAAATGACCCACCGTTGGTGGCGGTATGGGACTTGGTTCCTTACCTCGCAGATGAGCTGCCGATTGTGCTGCATACATGTTAAGTGCTTTCTGACGTTCCTCTGCTTCATGACGAAAAGCTGCTTCCATTATGGGGTTGTATCGCAAAATAGGTGCATAGGGATCACGATATGGATCAATACCCCACGGTGGCGGCCCTGGTGGACCGAAATGTGTTAGTGGGCCATTGATACCCATTGAGGGCGCCATCATATTACGGGAAATATGTGATGTTGGTGGCGGTAATCCATGTCGACCCGCTACTAAAAAATTTGCATGGTGATGTGCAGCGGCAACTGCTGCACTCGGTTGAACAGACACTAATGAAGGAGGATGATAACGTGGATCCCCTACACCCGCGACTGCGGATGCACGCATAAGAAGAACGTCTTGCTCTTCTTTCGTTCGGCCATGTTCTTCCTTTATTCTAATCTCTGTATTCAGCTCAATAACACGGTGTGGTGAGCGATCTCGTGGTGTGGATGTAGAGGACGCTACTGCAGTCTGCTTGTTGCTCTCGTTAATCCGTTGTTGCTGTAGCATTCGTTCACGTTCGATTTCTCGGCGTTCTATTTCACGTCGTTCGCGCTCTTTGCGTTCACGTTCCCGTTCTCGTTCTCTCTCTCGCTCCTGCTGTTCACGTTTAAGTTTTTCTTCTTTTTCTTTACGTTCACGTTCTTCACGCTCTCTCCTTTGTCGATCGCGCTCCCGCTGCTCTCGTTCTCGTATTTCACGCTCTCGATCTCGTTCTTCCGCTTCACGACGAGCATTCTCCATGGCGAGATCTGATTTAATGGGCCAACCATTAGGTCCAGCAGTAGCTGCTGGATGATATGGCATTGAGCGTGGTATTGAACTAGTTCTGAAAGAATATTTCAAGTACACATTTTATTAAAATTTTAAATATGTAATAAAAACTTTATTTGTATTGTATTTATTTGTATGCTTAAAGATTTAATCAATTCATACAAAAGTTGGTTTGTTATATAAGCCGTATAAGCAAAGTACGCAAGCTCGAATGGCAAGCGCCTTAACGAATGCGTGATAAATAAAACATAGTAAATGGAAAGAAATGAAAACATCTCAGCCTATTTTCAAAGCTTATCAGTTATTTCATTTATTTTTTCTAAATAGGACAAAATGTTTATATGTATTTTTCTGACAAATTTTAGTACATTCTCTGCTTTTGTGCAATTTACGGTACGGTACGGTACATCTTTTCCAATGATGAACTATTCGTTATGACATATGGATACGTAAAAGACAGATAGAGCAATATAGATTTATCGGTAGAGCTGTATCTGATTCTGACAGAAATTAGCTAGCTTACACTTTCACAATTAAATAGTATGCCTACACAAAAACAAGTAAGAAAGCTCTAGTCGAGGTGCCTGATCCCAGTCCTATCTGAGTTTTTTAATATTTTCCATAGTTTGTATCGATTATTAAAAAAAAACAAATAAAAACTGGCATTACCACACCAAGATTCGAACCCACATTGTTTACGCAACGCGCATAAACTCTACCAACATCGCCACTTCATTATTATAAAAAATAAAACAAAAATGAATGACGAGCACCGCACGCAGCCACTGCACTGCTTACCCAAGCAGTTGCAAATTTGAAGTTAAGCTAATAATTCAGCACAATTCAATTACATGCGAATAGTGCTATACACGGGCCTACAAAAAGTTTGTCTCTAGCTCTTATAGAAGCCGAGATCGATGCGTTTACACATACGGACTGACGGACAGGGCTCAATCGACTCGGCTTGCCGTCCTGATGAAGAATATATATACTTTTTGGGGTCTGCCACGCCATTTAATGGGATCATTAATCCTATTTTCTATGGGATCAGGGTTTAAAAAAATTTAAGCGCCATTATTTTCGCTTTTCCAATTTACACACAATGATCTCCCGCAAATGCCCATAAAGAGATAAACTCTGCGCTCTTCAGATAATAATAACAATAAAAATTTCTGACATGTTTTCCTTAGGACCGGGATATTTGCTTCTACAACGACCATCAAAAAAAGTCGTGAATTGAGAATGAGAATATTAGATTAAACATTGTATGTATATACTACATTGACCATATGCATTAATATTTCTACGTTTTTCGCTTTATTAAATAAATTAAAAACAAATTTTAAACAAGTAAGAAAATTCTAGTCGGGGTGCCCGACTAGGAGATACCCTGATCCCAGTCCTATCTGCGTTCTGTAATATTTTCCATAGTTTGTATCGAGCATTGACAAATAAACAAATTAAAACTGACATTACGAAGGCAAGATTCGAGCCCACAATTTCTACGCAACGCGCATCAACTCTACCAACAACAGCACTTTATAATTAAAAAATAGAAAAACAATAAAAAAGTCCCTTCACCACCAGGCTTAAATCCAGAGATTATTGCTCACTAGCGTAGCCTTTACCCACACTGCCACTGAACTGCTTCGACAAAGAGCTGCAAATTTGAAGTTAAGTAGCAGCTGATAATTTAAGCACAAAAAAATCGCAATTTAAATTCTTCGATTAGAAAAGAATACACGAGCGCTTGGGGCTGCTTGACATGTGCTCTTGCAAATTGGCCAAACAGTTTGTTTAATAACTTCTGTTTTACTTAATGGATTTTAATGAAATTTTCAGCATATGATCTACATATTCTATTGGCTTGGTAGAGATACAAACGCCTTTACTAATGGCCCTATTTCCAACTAAACTTTAATGTTACAAATTTGGGGAAATTGGGAGCCGGTATCCAAAATCAAACAAAAATCAAAATTGCATAAAATATACATAAAACTAAATACAAACCAGGTAAGAAAGCTCTAGTCGGGATGCCCGACTAGGAGATACCCTGATCCCAGTCCTGTGAGACCAGGCCCAAGTTCCAACTGAACTTAAATTTGAAGAATTTGGGGAAATTTGGAGCCGGTATCCAAAATCTAACAGAAATCAAAATTGCATAAAATAGACATAAAACTAAATACAAAATGTTGAGGCTCTAGATCTTAAGACGTCCAAGATATAATTTATTAACTGCATTTCAATCATGTTTTTATTCGATAACAATTAAATGCGAATAGTTATCGAATATTTGAAACAAACTTGATCTGCGCGTGCTATACCCGGACCTACAACATCTTATAGATGCTGAGATCCACGCGTTCACACATACGGATAGACGGACGGACGGACAGACGGACAGGCCTCAATCGACTTGGCTTGTCGTCCTGATGAAGAATATATATACTTTATGGGGTCTGCCACGCCTCCTTCTGCCTTTTACATACCTTTGCACAAAACCATTATACCCTGATTTCCCATTTTCAATGGGATCAGGGTATAATTAGGAGACGTACGAGATATAATTTAATAGCTTCATTTCGATTATGTTTTTAATCGATAACAATACAATGGAAAGAGTTATTGAATATTTGAAACAAACTTGATATGCGCGTGCTATTAATTTGCAAATTAACTTACCTCCATGTATCCAAATGTCCACTCAATGAAATATCTCGTCCAAAATGCGTAAGGCCGGCAAATCCAAAAGATCCAACGTACCGACTAAACTGGGAAACAGCTGTACCTGTCAAATTTTTATAAGTAAAAAAACCGTGAAATTAATTGTGTACGTTAATCTTACCAATATGACTAGGTGGTGCACCAATAAAGCTTGCAGCTAGTGGAGCAGTTTCAAATGGAGACCTGGCATACGTAGCAGCTGTCGTAAGCTCAGTCGACCGATGTAAAAGGTGCGGGGATGTGGAACTCAGAGTCAACGACGGGGATGGTTTCAAATTAACTGCTGCTGTGGATCCACTGGCCACAACCATGCCTCCACTGGTTGCTAAAACAGCGCTGTTGCTCCCAGATATACTCATGGGCGTTGTATTGCTCATACTAATTAAGTTATTAGTTGCACTAGAAGTGCCTGAGTTACCGCTGTTACAGTTGCTTCCCAGATTAGAACCTGACGCTGATATGGATTTTTCTGAATTCTGTTTGTTTTGGTGATAGTAAATTTCCCACGCAATACGGACATGCATAGCGTTCCAACGCCCAGTTTTCTAGTTACGAAAATAGATAAGTCTGTTAGTCACATACATTTTTTTCTATACTATATAAATCTCGATCTGTTAAGTATCTCCTTGGGTGAAAAATATATTAAAAGGTGGTGACCCAACCACTTTGACTTTAGTGACTAAAGATGTCCAAAAACACCTACATATTTTCAAAATTTATGTTTTCTGTCTTACAACCCTCCAACAGGTGCCACATAGCAGCTTTTCTACTGTCTATACAATTCTCATTATCATTGACGGTAAGCAAAGACCATCTAGTAAGACGAGCATATTTACCAGAACACAAGTCTTTAGTATTTGCGGTTTTTATTTTTCAAAATCCAAAATATGCAAAATTTGTGTGTACTTTGCCCTAACAGTAAATAAAATGTTTATGGTATTAAAGCTATGCTTTAAAACAAAGTTAAATTATTGATATGGAAATTAAATACGCTATCGAAAAAAATAATTAGCTCATATTGTGATGGCTCTAGTTGTGGCTTAAGAGATCGTTCCGTTCATACGGACGGACAAAGGAACATGTGGCCATGACTAGATGAACTGCCAAGCCTCCTTCTGTTTGTTACATACGCTTTCGCAAAGCATACCCTAAATTCTCATTTTCAATAAATAGTTAGAACCGAACTTTTTACTGTCTTTACTGTTTCATAAAAGGTAAATGTGAGTTTCAATCGCTGTCGTAGGATTCAAATTACGAAACTAATTAGAAGCTAAATAACACATTGTGGATCTTATTTGCGAAGATCTGAGATTTTTATCGTAATTTTAAGTCATAATTAGTAGACAGTCTGGCCTAAATACAACAACTATTTTTGAAGAGTATATACACTTGTATTTGTGGTTAGTTCTCGTGTAATAGATTTATTTATTGTTTTTTACAATCATGCATGACTCAAGCTTAACACGTATCCTAATATTCTTTCACTTTGAGCCCATTAAATTCGGGGATATGTAGTCTCTCAATATGTTAAAAAAAGTCTATATATGTATAATATACATATGTCCAACTTTTAAGTCACAAGCAATTCTGCTTTTTTTAAACGTATTTTAAAATATTCCATAGACAATTTAAAAATACTTCACTTATTTCATCTTACCTTTGGCGCAAATGAAGTTAAATGATTGGGTGGAACAAATGGCGTTGGCCCACCCAAGCCATTGTGCAAAAGCCCTGTTGGATTATATCCCGTATAACTTGGAGGCATTCCAAGGCCTGCACGATAAAACTGTGGGTCGACTGCAGCAATTTTGGGTATATCTTTAAATAGCGGAGGAGGAAAAATTTGTGCGGGTGTCGGTGGGGTAGCCTGTAGTATAGTAGTAGGGGCTGGCATTGGTGCTGTCGGCAAAAGCTGTGGATGTTGATGTAGGTGTGTATGCTGATGTTGATGATGCAACTCCTGTCGCAAATAAGTTGATGAGGATGATGGAGAAGGTTGGGTTAAGCCAGACCGATCCAGAAATCGACTGTCCAGCTCGCGACGCAATAAATCAGCTTGATCATCTATTAAGAGCATATAAAAAAATAATTTAATAAATTATTCTGGTTTGCATCGGAGAGCTACTATTTTTGACATTCATACTTTTACTTGGTTGGAAGAGAGATTCTGCGGAAAATGGATGTGGTGTAGGTGTAACAGCTGTACACACCGTTGCCACAGTGGACTGTGTATTACCAACTGTGCTGATAGACGACGTCGTGGTTGTTGCAGTGGCCATCGTCACAATAACAGCTGTTGTATATGACACCAAAGGTAAATGAGAAACAGAGTTGATGCTACTACCTGTAACAGAAATGGTCGCAGCTGAAGACGATTGGGGTGGTGCATGGGGCGTGGCAAAAAACGTGGTCTGAAAGTTGGCCATTGGCACATGTCCACTGCCAACATTGGAATGCACCGCATGAGGTGAAATTGCATTCACGGCAACTCGACCAGGTGGTCCTATAACACCAGAACTCAGAGGTGAGGGAACTGGTCGAGCACTGCCACTAGTCAAAATTGGAATGGAAGGTGTACAAGTCATTGCTGTCGTCTGCATAACTGATGGGCTAAAATTATATTACAATGTTATATATAAAAAAATGGAACACAAATAATCTTACTTTAACCAGAGCCCAGTCTTTGTTGTATATGTGGAAATGCTATGACCCGTAACTGCTAGAGCTGAATGGGTTGCCGATGATAGCGGGGTCGATGATGAAGATACGGATACGGCACTGTAGTGTGTCGATGGTACTAAGCTGCAAAATGGTGCCCCTAATGCAATGCCTGATGGCCCACCTGACACCGACACGGTATTGCTTGGTCGAACGGACGTAATGCTGGCATTAGTAAAAAAAATTTAAATTATATGACTATCTATTGTATATATATATAATATATCTATGATTAAATATATATTTAATGAAATAATATAAGCAGTAGATGATTATTATATTTAGACATATTTGTATACCTACATACCTACGGTATGTCTTTTTTAAATATGCACGTAAACATTCAGGTTGGCGAGGAGTTCTGAGCATTTATCTTATCTTTTAATATACTTATAATTTAGTGAGGTTTTAGCCACTAATATCCTGTTTCGCCACGAATACCAACGTGCTACGCAACAAATTTTTAGTCTAACTACTTTTAGCTCATATAACAACCACTTTAATCGTGTATGTCATTATTATTGTTAAAACGCCTAATTTATATGTTTATGTTTAACAGTTTATTTAAATAAACTTTGATGTTCACAGCAACGTGAAAAAAATTGATTGGCTGTTGGCTACAATGAAACTCACCAAAAGATGGCAAGATTTCTACCATGAGTTACAGACTGGCGGAATTGCTATTTCTATTGTAAGCTTGTAAACATATATACATATACAATGACATGTTCAGAATATACAAATGACATCAAAATGTAATTATATGATAGTCCATTTTATGCAAAATCGTTTTTTAAATTAAATATACTGTATAAGATGTTCGCCTCTCTATAACTTATTTGTTCTTTATAAGCACAAACACTATCGATTGACCTAGCGGAAACAAGACTGCCAGATGCTTATGATTACCAGAGTTTTACCTATGATAAAAGTATATGAATTTCGAGAAAATAGTTTAGATAGGAATTAAATGAAATAATTGTTGGTTAGACACTGTGTGGAATATATAACCAAAAAGTCAGTTTTTTTTTTCTAAACTTTTTTCTTGCAATTATATATAGATTAGTATAAATATTATACCTGTAACTTGTATCCCGTTCTCTACTCTCGGTTTTAGGCGAAAGTATTTTTTGAATCACAGATGATGATGCTATAGAGGTGTTTATTGGCGACGACGGCGTCGCTGTCATTAAGCTTTGTACAGTAAGGACTGATGTGTTAGTTGTACTAATAGTTGAAGTGGTAGTACAACGCACAAGTGGCTGTTGTGACGTTGATGTTGAAGGTGCGAACTGTGGGTATGAGCTTATTACTTGAGGAAGATGTGTTTGATACCCAGATTGAGGAAGCATTGGAGCAGAAGGTTGCATTTGCGAAGTAACAACTGCAATTCCTGAGGATGTCGCCAATTGTGTTGTTGAAATCGGTGGACCAGTGCATGAAACACCAAATGTGGTGTTAGTAGGTAAGTGATGGGACTGCGTCGAATGTAACGAAGGTACCGTCGTTGTTGTTGTTATAGGAATAGTCCCTAATACCTGCGTTGTATTATTATTGCTAATCACATAGCCAAGCGGTGTAATAGGTCGCAATCCTGCGATGCTATTACCACTGTGCTGATTCAGTGAAGTTGCACTTGTTGCTGGAACTTTTAATGATGCTGTCGGTTGAGTATCGCGACAGTTGCGATTTTCCGAACGCTGAGACAAGGACGATGTATTAGAATTTCCCATTGGTATCACTGACGGAAGGTATTGTCCATGAGTTATGTTATTATAGGGTGTATATAAATTTGAATAATTGGGAAAAGGTGAACGGTATGGCGTTGCTTGAATTAGCATAGGTAACCCAGCTCCCGAGTGAGGCATCAGTGGGGGTGCCCCATGAAACACCAATGAAGAGCCTGTTGCCCCTACTGCAGTATTTCCAGTACTAAGGGATGCTTTCGTGATAGCAGAGGCCGTAATTGCAACGGAACTAACTCCCGTATTAGGTGGCAAACTCATAGGGACTGGTACCACTTTGTTTCCTGAATGTGGAGAAATATTTAGAAGACTTTTTCCAACAGCGGAAGTTGTTGTGCAACCGAGTGCTGAATGGCCAGAAAGGAATCCATTTGCAACTGGGGAAATAGACATTGGCATTGAGACATTTGTGTTCTTCAGCGAATCCACGGAACCAGTGGTTTTTCGGCCATCAATACTTAGTTGTGTATTATCATTTGTCTTATAGTTAGTTGTAAGCACAGCATTGGACGTTCGTTCCACAAATGTAACATGTAATGGTGCTATAGTAACGGGGGTTGAAGGAGTACCCAAAGAAATTGTAGGTTTAAGCACTGGCGTGTCCATTCCATGTGACGTTACCATTTTCGTGCTTAGAGTAATTCCTTTGGTAGTTGCACATGAAGTTACTTCGAGCCCACAATGTACAGCTTCCGACGTAAGATACGATTCGCAACCAGAAATACTTACGCTAGTTACCTAAGTAGTATTCAAAATTTGTAAAAAAGTACTAAAACATTAAAAACGCCCACTTACTTGTGTAGAACACGTGACAGCAGGATGCTTTATGGTATGAGATATATTATCTGTTCCTGTGCTGGATTGTTGATTATCCCCATTAGCTTTTGGTTTGTCCGTTAAAAGCGTTGATGGTATCACATTGACGGTTTGTTGTATGCTCGTAGATTCGCTTGTAATCTCATTGTCCATTGTATGAGAGCCATTTGGTGCAGTACTACTTGATACAGGACTCGTATGTGGCGTTGATAAAGCCGTCAAAGTTGGCAAATCGATATCGCACATATTTACAGCTATACATTCCGTTCGACTAGTCTGCAGTTACATAATCCGTTAAAATTTGTGTTATTCATATTGTTTTTATAAAAACATGTGGCGTTAAACGAAAATAAAAATAATTAGTGGTCCAATTCAAATCAGAGAATAAATTTAAATACTTTATATTATTATCAATTTCGATTGTGAGATCCCTTGAACACTCGTAGTTTCACACACAGCTTCACAATAAAATAGCACATTTATCAAAAAAAAAAAAAAAAAAATTAGTGAAAGCCATGTCGTTTGGAGTTGACTGCTCAGAAGTGCGCATCTCCTCTATCAACACTGCCTCTTCATTGAGCGGGCGTCAAATAAAGTTGGAGCAGACAATTCATTGACAATTAAAATTCTTACAATTAAATATATTTCACGCACTTTTAATACATGTATAAAAAAAAGCGCGTACGATTTGCGCTGCGGGACACGGGGTTTTGCTAATTGGCCAACATTTTTTTACTGTATTGAATAATTGCACATGATATATTATATATATATTCCATTTGTCAGTTTAATAAAAATGCAAGCTCTTTCACATTACAACTGAAATTTAATTTAAAGAATTTTATGAAATTTGAAACTACTCGCAAAATTTAGACTGGCTCCAAGGATGGAATTGATCAAATTTAAAAACTTAATGAACTGAGTCGATCTGGCAATGTCCGTCTGTCCGTGCGAACGCAACGAAAAGTTAGAGACTTGATTTTAAATATATACTCGTGGATAGTATCAATAGCTCGAATAAAATGTTGATTTTATTATATTTTGGTTATCGGCTTCAAATTTCCCCATATTCAGTACTTTTATTATTTTTTTACAAACGTGCTAAATAGTTAGATTAGATATATAGAATATATTTAAAAACGCAGATCGGTCATGGGTCAGTGTATCTCCTAATCAGACATCCCCACTCATGCTTTATTAGTTGTTATTTTCAGTTTTGCTTATCGAATAATTGTAAAATTTATAAAATTGATTTATAGGCATATACTTATATATACACCAATCAATGGAAACAGCAATAATGCACAATTGGCTCAAGATGACAAATATATTCTTTACCCTTGACCCTTGAAGAAAACAGTGTATTAATAAGATTTAACTAATGGCAACAAAAATCTGTGGCTTTGAATAAAGCTATGCAATTGCCAAACTATGTTCTTCTCGCTCTATTTCATGTGTTCTATGTAGACGTTTAATTGATATTATGATTTCATTAATGGTAACAGACTTTTTCTAAAATACAGAGAAGTCTTGATCGAATCAGATCGTTGTCCCACTTATGAAAGAATGTGGGCACTAGAACTCTTCCTTTAAATTCGTATAGACTTTTAGTTAGATTAATACAGCCGTTTTTCTTATTAATAGATCTACATTCGGCGAAATATTAATATTTTTTACGGATAACATATTCTGGGAACATTCCCTAGCGTAGATATATGAATTTAGTCAATTAAGTAACTCAGTTGCGGATATTCTGATGAGACTTTAAATTTATACATAGCTTTTCCTATAACACTCGCAGAGCAAATTTGTTTCCAATAATAGATAACATTTCCCGTTATAATAAATTCAAAAATGTATTGAGCTTGGGCTATAAATTATACATTGTACGTCTTTGGTGCTATATATTTTATAAATTAATTTTTTTCTATTTTGAATAACATAAACCCAAAAAAATTTTTTTTTAAATTGAAGCTCAGTTGCAAATATGACCATTATTTTTAGATTTAAATATTTATTTTAGATAAATTGTCTTATGTTCAGTACAATATATATTGATCATATGCTGAACATTAATTGACATCTGTTTAATAGAACAGAAGATAATTGACCAAATACACGTAGCAATTAGCACCAAGCATACGTGTTTTCTCTTTATACATTCCTTCCTTCGCATTGTATTCAAAAAAATTTTAATTACATCTGAATTGTCACTTGCTACATTGCAACTTTGAAGTAGATAAATAGTGATGGCGTGAGTTTGAGGAATCATAGGTTTGATAAGGTAACAAAAGGGCTATTTAATTGTGAAGACGTAAATTGGAATGGGATGATTAAAATTTTGCTGTCGAAAATTATTTTTATTTCATACTTTTTATAAGTCCATATATATTACTGCGAGTTTCTAGTTCTTTTTTTCCAATCTCAAGAAACTTTGATTTTCTTTTTTGGTATAGTTATTCTTCTATGTGATCTCCTTAACAAAAAATTAAGCTTGACATATACAGTAGGGAGCAAAAGTGTTTCCATAGTTGACACTTTCAACTATGTGAGTCAATAATTTCCAAACGAATGAAGCAAATCAAAAAAACTTTTTTTTTCCAATAATATGTATTTAATTCTTAACAAATTGCCGTATATAACAAAAACAAAAGTTAATCAGTAAAATATTCAAACAAAGATAACTGAAACAAAACGCATGTGTACAATTTTGCACCTTCCGATATTCGTAATAATCGGCAATAGACGACACGCAAGTTTACCCTTATATGTTTTATTTATGGATTCTACACTTTTATGATCCAGAAATTCACGTGTTTCTTATTATTCGAAGTAAATTTGTTAATTTTTAGCAAACTAAAACTAAAAAGTGCTGCGAAAAAATGAAGAAGCTTTCGTCAGATGTAGAAAATAGCATTATTAGCCTAACTGAAAGTGGATTTCGACTGGTAGTATTGCAGATCAGTTTAATATTTCTAATTCAGCGGTGTCCAAGGTCCAGAAAAGACGCAGTGGTGCATCCAAAAACACTATTAAAGACCGCAAACGCCTCTTAAAGGAGTCTGACGCCAGACTAATGTCGAAAATGAGAACTGATAAGTTCCTAACACCGAAGAAGCCATTTATGGACATAGGAAAAACGTGAGTCGGCGGGTGGCTAGAAGAGCACTAGCTAAGGTTGGATATTTGGCAAGTGTGAAAAAAAATAAACCAGCTCTATCCGAGAAGAATGTCAAGGGTCGATTGAAATTCGCCCGGGAACACAAGAACTGGACTGTAGATGATTGGAAACCTGTCATCTGGTCGGATGAATTCAAGTTCAACCATTTTCAATCAGATGGCAAGCAATACTGTTGGCACAGGCCCGGGGACAAGCTTCAAAAACACTATGTGAAGCAAACCGTTAAGCATGGAGGAGACAATGTCACAGTTAGGGGTTGCTTTACTTGGTTTTCACATTGGACCATTGCAGAAAATTGATGGTATAATGTTAAAAGAAGACTATCTCAATATTTTGAAAACCTATCTACCCATTTTTTTGGACAAGTGTGCATACCCCGTAAAGGTAATCATTTTTCAACAAGATGGGGATCCGAAGCACACTGCCAAAATTGTCCGCGAATGGATAAAAAAACCGAGATTTTATGCTGATGGAGTGGACAGCTAAAAGTCCTGAACTCAATCCGATTGAGAACCTGTGGTCAATCGTGAAGCGACGGCTCGGGCAATATCAATCAATGTCATCCAACCTAGACGATCTTTGGAAGCGTGTTGAACTGGAGTGGAACCTAGTTCCAAAGGAAACCAAAGAGAAGTTGGTCGAGAGTATGCCAAACTGAATAAAAAATGTAATAGCTAATAAGGGCCTGTGGACAAAATATTGATTTTGAATCCTATTTAATTTTTTTCACTGAAGGTGCAAAATTGTACACATGCGTTTTGTTTCAGTTTTCTTTGTTTGAATATTTTACTGATTAAGTTTTGTTTTTGTTATATACGGCAATTTGTTAAGAATTAAATTCATATTATTGAAAAAAAAAAAAAGTATTTTTGATTTGCTTCATTCGTTTGGCAAATATCGTTTCACAAATTTGAAAGTGTCAACTGTGGAAACACTTTTGCTCCCTACTGTATATGTTGTTGCTATGTTGTTTTGTTTTTGTTGAAAGGTTGTACTTATTTTATGTCATTTGCGTAGCGTCTCCAAATTCAATTGAATCTCGCTCAGTTTGGCAATCACATGTACAATTTTTTTTGTGTAGATGATAAAATTGATTTTCTTAAAGAATAAATACGTATGAATTATAAAAACTTCATTGGCAGGAACAGATGAGACAGAGAGGCGCCCCATGCTGAGAAAAACATTCGCACCAATTATCTTCAAATATTTAGAATAGAACTGGTGTTACACGACCGTGATGTAGGTATTCTTCACATCCACACTTGAATGCGGATATTACAAAAGACTTGACAACTGCTTTGCATCACCTTCAAAATTTATTTAATTAAAATTAAAACTTCGCGGCATATGTCATCGAAATCGCTCAAAACCCAAAACGTGGAAGTTCATATTTACCATCTATACTAATATTAACGAAAACGGTTGAAAATAGGTGGTGGACAATATGTTCGCCTTCGAAAAAAAAAATTTTATTAGTTAGTCTCAATTTTTAAATACGTTGGGCCTACTATTTTATTAATATATATTAAATTAAATTTACAATTGGGTTCCAAATCTAATTTTTGTCGACCTTACTATTCACTTTTGTTAATAGTGTATAAAATATTAAAAGTAAGCTTTTTTCAAAATATTTCCTGGAATTATACCAGCCTTGTTTCATGTCAAGAAAAATAAATCAATGGAAGCTTGAATGATATAGAAACTATTTAACATTAACGGAGAAGAGAATTTTGCGCTACCCTAATAATGCACTATGTCTATGTGCGTGTACATGTGTAACTGCAAAGATACAAGGTATATAGCATGCTTAAATCGCAGATCGGCTAGGGTTGATGGTATCTTCAAGTTATTCCCTTCTGGCTAGAGTTTTTTTTAGTTAGTTATAATTTCTTAAGTATACAATTAAAAAGTTTTTTCCAAAATTCGTAATTAGCTCTTCCTAAATTTTGTTATATTTAAAGAAATTGTAAGACAAATATGTAATTTAGTTTCTTTCCCGGTGAGCTTAATTTATTCTTCTTCAACAATTCTTAGAGAGATTCCAGATTTATTTTGGAAAAACTGCTGGGAGAGTAGTGTTATTTCAATTTTGGCAGCTGTGCACATAATAAATAAGTTCACTATCTGCTTGTTAGCACTTACCTTAATCCCGCCTATAGCTTTATCACACTGAAACAAACATGTTATACATATAAAGATAATAATCTGTGTTCGTTGAGAGTAAATACATACGATATTAGTTTCTTTATTGTTGATAGTGCAGTGATTTGAAACCTGGCCAAAAATTAGAAAATATGATAAAAATTATATATAAATATGAAATTGTAATATTAAAACTTACATTTGCAAAACTTTCGTTAAGATCGATATCCTTTTTAAGCAGAATGCTAGTCCCCAAAGACTTTGCTGTACCGATCGAATAGTCTTCAATTTCCAGCGTTAAGCCTCCTGCGACAGTTTCTGCCGTGCCAGGTGCATCAGCTTCACTGCTTTCCAAATTTTTCAGCTTCTGTTGAAAAGTAACATATAAATGTATTTATTAAAAAGATAATATAAATACTTACGTTGATTTTCGAACTTGAAGACGATGATAGCATAACGCATAGACGATTGCTAACAGCGGCGGCATCATTTTGCTTTGTGCCCTTAATGCTAACATATTCTGCTATATCGCTTTTTGGTTGGCTAGGAATGTTTATGGTGTTTTGCGATGTAATCCCGGAACTATTACTTTCATTTATATTTCCACTTAGATCGATGTGCGGCACGACTGCGCCAATGGATAACTTTTCATTGTCTTCCTCCACAATGCAGCTGACAGTATTTACGGCTCCTGGGATAGGCGTATTGCTTATACTGATGACAGATGATGCGGAATGATTGGACTGGATTACATGGTTCAAATGTTGACTATTACTGATTTGATTTGCCTTGCTGTTAATTCCGATGCTAATATTATTTGTATTACCGCTTAGCTGTTCCTGCTGCTGTCGATATGGATCTCCTACCCATTTTTCTGTTTCTATATCGGGAATACTTGCCACTGGCATAGTATATACCGTATTGCTATTATTGTTATTTGTTGAATTATTGTTAGTGCTAATGCTGTTAGTCGTAGTCACAATAGTGCCCCCAACGCCGACATTATTACCGCGATGCTGGTGGTGATTGGTTTCTTTTAAATTATTGTTGCTTGCAATTGACAAATTGGAAATATTTGTGGTACGTAATGGGTGAGGTTGGCCTGTATCGATAATCTTTGGCATTTTCATTTCCTCTATGCTATACGTGCACGTCAGTTCTTCTAATGCCGAAAGCCGTTTTTCTTTGCGCTTTTGTCCCAATTTAATAGCAAACTGTTTACCAATATTTATTATATATTAGATATATAGAAATTATAAGCGAATAGTAGTATTAATTTATTATGCTTACCTCTAGATCTTCGTACGTTTTGAACTCTAATATGGCAAATCCATCAATAATCTCCTCCTCTAAGACAGGGGACCTAGGCAGTTTTCGACGAACTGGAGGTGGCGGTCTTGGTGGAGGCTTATCGCGCGGAAGCAGTAACGTTGATGATGACGATGTTGAAAGGAGATCTTCATCTAGCGATTCACCTTCGCTATCACTAGGAGTTGCCATTAAACCAGAATTGCATTCGGGAGAGTGTGGCGGATTCAATAGCAGTGATGCAATGCTGTCCGTAGGTGGCAGCAAATTATTACTACCGTTACTACTGCTAGTAAAGTTGCCATTGGAATTATTGCTATCTTCTCCCATACTACCAGCACTATTGATGTGATACAACATGCTATTACCAGGCCCCAATGCGCTATTGTTACCTATTAATATGGCAGGTGCAGTTACAGAACCAATTATATTACTACTGGTACTACCAGTAGCAGCGCCTATACCAAGGCTGACACCCACACCTACAGATCCTCCAATCAGAGCGCCACTTAATGCACTTAAAGTGCATCGACTATCGCGCTCTGCCTGCAGGCGCTGTGCTCGTTCACGCCGACGTTTTTGTTGGCGTTGCTGTTTTGTGATTAGATTTAGTTGAGGACAATTACTGGAGGTGTTGCTGTTATTGAGGTGACCGTTTGTAGTGGCTAATAAAGCATTTTGAACAGGTGCACACGTTAATGTAGAAGCTAATGACATGGGAGATGTGGTCGAGTGGTCTATTGTAGACGTAACTACTGTTGTCGCTGCCGCTGCAACAATTGACAATTCCGTGTCAGAGTCAAAATCACTTGCACATGGTGCAGACTTTAGTTGTGATGGTCCTGTTTTCTCTGAAGAACTATGAGGTGGCGGTGTTGAAGTGGCCCTAATTCCTGAACTTGAAAAAGAAGGCGGAGCTGGCAGCAAACAACTTAATAACGCAGCATCTGAAGCTGATCCAGCGACATTTAAATTCGATTTTGGCGGCGGCAGGTTTAAGACCACAGATGATGTGGTTGAAATCGGTAACGTCGAAAGTGTTGAAGTATCTGGTGTGTCACTTAGCGCCGGAACAATACTTCGTAGGCTCGCTTCATTTTGCTTTTTATTTTTGTTGAGACTCACTACAGCTGTGGGTACCGGAAGAACATCTTGTGCTGTGTTTACATTGCCGTGTTGCGTTAAAAGACTCCGTGACTCCTGTAGTACGTTGCCATCTGCAAGCGAGCTTAACATCGTCTGTGCAGTTTGGCTTGTATTAGTTACATCCATCTCAAAAATGTAATTCGCTGTTATTTTTTATTTTTGATAGGTTGGTCACTCTTGGTGCATTAATAATTTTTCGATTAAGCTATTACTGCTGCGGGTGCAATTAAAGCTGTAATCATTGAAATGTAAATCCATGAGAGTGTCCAATGGTGTCATCATAGCATGGATTCAATGCCCACTTTATATATGGTGAGAATTCTACATTTTTTAAGGTTGACATACAGTCTGTCAAGAAACACTTTACACAGTGGAAAAAATCTCAATTTTTTGACTTTATGTAAAAAAATAAAGAGTTTTTGTTTAATTTAACTAATTTTTTTTAATGGTTAACTGTTTAATAGGTATTTTTAAATCAAATTATAGAAAACAGAAACAAAAACAATAATGGTGAAACTTAAAAAACAACAAAAACTTAGATTACTCATATTTTACACTGTCAAGAAACTCTTTACACACTTCTTATATATTGTTCTAAATTTAAAATGTAAAACTAATTATAACTAATTTTGAAATACTTAATATTTAGTATGGCCCCCCTTAGCATTCTGTACATGTTGGAGTCTTCTTTTCATTGAGTTGACCAAGTTTTGAATATACTCTAGGGGTATCTTCTGCCACTCTTCCAGTACGAAAGCTTTTAGCTGTCCACGGTTGGTTGGATTCCTTTTTCCAACCTTTTGCTTTAAATAAGACCACGCATGTTCGATTGGGTTGAGATCTGGGCTTTGGGGTGGTGTATCCAAGACCTTTCCGCAGTTGTAAAGCAACCAATTACGTACATTATACTCCTTATGTTTTGGATCGTTGTCTTGGTAAAATTTAAAAGTTGGCCGATTTTCACTAATAAAGCCAAATTTGGTTAAAAAATATTGCTCGGCATTCATTGTGTTTTCAATGAATACCAATTCACCGACTCCTTGGCTGGAAATGCAGGCCCAAACCATAACCGACAGCTTTCCAAATTTGACTGTTGGAATGATATTCGCTTTGTCGTAAGCTTTAGAGACCTTTCGCCATACTTTGGGCGGACCTTCGTTGTAATACAACATTATTTTGGTCTCGTCGCAAAATATAACGTCCTTTCAATACTCCTCTGGGTGCCTAAGCATAGTAAGAGCAAAACAGAAGCGCTTTTCCACATTTGTCGACGACAGCAAGGGTTTCTTACGTGCCACTTTCGAAGAATACCCATGCCGTAGAATAGCCTGACGGATCGTTTCGTGGGACACATCCACACCACACTCTTCTTTGAGCTCCTTGGCAAGAGTTCTGGTCGAGATTTGGGGATTTGATTTGATCTTTCGCATCATAAGGCGGCTTGCCCGATCAGATATCTTTTTTTTTCGGCCACCCACACCCTTTGCCTCAAGTCTTCCCTCATTTCCGCGCGACTGAGAACGTTGTATATGGTTTTTCTTGACACAGAAAACATTTCCACTAATTCTGGAACTGATTTGCCCAACTGCCGATTGTAGAAGATCAATTGGACAACATCGAAGCTTAATCTCTTTCCGGGCATTATTAATCAAAATTTGTATTGCTTTTATATGTGTACTCAGCCAAATTTCGCACAAAGTGAAAAATAAACACAAAAATAGAGATGCATAGACAGATTCTAAAGGCATAGTTAACGGTAAAGCCCCGTTATTTCTTAGAATCAGAGCAAAACAGATGAAGAGAACAAAATGTGTAAAGAGTTTCTTGACAGTGTAAAATATGAGTAATCTAAGTTTTTGTTGTTTTTTAAGTTTCACCATTATTGTTTTTGTTTCTGTTTTCTATAATTTGATTTAAAAATACCTATTAAACAGGTAACCATTAAAAAAAATTAGTTAAATTAAACAAAAACTCTTTATTTTTTTACATAAAGTCAAAAAATTGAGATTTTTTCCACTGTGTAAAGTGTTTCTTGACAGACTGTATATATAAATGAATAATACAATACGCTTAGTTAATGCTACCCAAACATTTTTTTTTCAGGAAATTTTCATCTAATCTACAACATTTGACATTTGATTCACAATACTAGGTGACCGGTATTTAAATTTAATTTATCATTTTGTTTTCATTTAGTATATACTTACACACAGAAAAAAGTAGATATGTATAAATGCATAAATAGATATATGTAGATATATATTTATGTATGTTTATAGTTCACATCAACATTTATATATCGTACGAAAAGACATACATAGAATAATGATTCTTTCCCTTTCGGTAATCACCCCTTAACGCTTTTTTTTTTGCACTTTGTTAGATATATTTATAAGTGTATATCCACATACATCATATTTGCTCACTTATACATCTGAATGTATTTGCTTAAAACCAAAATTGTTTGAATTTTGTTGATATTTAATATGCATATTAAAAAATTTTAGTTCATATACACACATATCCAAAAGATAAATTTTCAGTTGATTTTTTAAAAGCGTTTTTTGATTTTTGCATGTGTTGCGTGATTTACATACGTGTAACTATAATAGGTTTTTATAATTTATTTTCTTATTTTAATTACTATACTTTATGCTCTGAAGTCGGCTACAACAGTACTCGCGCGCTACTTGCCTTCTATGTATGTATGTACATATATGAACGATGTTGTATACAATGAATCTAGTAGCAGTAGCCATCTCGCTTGCACTTGTCTTATTATTGCGTGTTTTCTACTTCGTGTACGCAACAGCTTCAGCGCCGCACACAATCATATATATATATATATATATATATATATATATATATATATACATATATATATATATATATATATATATATATATATATATTATTTAAGTGTTAGAGTAAAAAGCATCTTTCGATCAAGTCATTAACCAGACTCGATATATATTCATTGCACTTTACTAGTTTAGAACTCATTCACTCTCAGTATCTTAAATAGTGCATTTAAACCATTTGATATTTCTGAAATTTTCTGACCAAAAAATCGAACAAGAAAATAGTGAAGTAATATAATCGATGTTGGTATTTATTATTAATCGATTATTTGCTATATTGCAATCGATAGTAATAATACGGTAACATAACAACAGACTGGAACATTATATGGAACGTTAGATTAAATTAGGTTTCTAATATCATAGAAGATTTATGTATATATATATATATTTTTTTTTCATATGCATTCATAGGGCCGTACAATTTTCAAAATATTACAGAATTGGTTTTAAACAATAAATACGAAAATCTGCTTTGCCACGCCTCTATTTATCAATGACATAACTTTTTCGTTGATCAAAAAATCTTAACAGTACTTTAAGTGCAAATGAAGGTTTTATTTTTTAAAACTACTAAACACCATAAATCTATGTGCACTCCAAATTTTTGACATATCTTAAAACTTCAAGTCTCTAGCCACAAATAAAGGAGAAATGGTTTTCCAACTGCAAAACGGACATTGCACACTTCATGAATGAATGTGAAAGAAAACATGTCAGTATTTGGAAGTTTTTAAATAAAACCTGGCATTTCTTATCAAATAGGAAATTTTACACAAATAAACATCTAATCTCAATTTTTTTCCATGGTCTCCCACGGCGCACGAATAGGGCTCGAATGCTTTACTCATGTATATATTCGGGCGTTTTTTATTTTAAAGATATTCAAATTGTTCATTCGAAAACCTTTATTTTTTTAAGTAGATCACTATGAATTATTAATGTTGTGTATCCAGGACATCTGTACCAGTGTAAATTTTATATTTTTTATGCATTAAGTGCAACAGTGCACTTTTATACCCGGCTTCGAATAGAAGAGAATGCAAAGAATGTGCCCATGTACAAGAAAGAAACGTTTGGAAGGGCTTACCGTAGGCTTACCGTAAGACTTTTCAAGTTTACCAGATGATTGCTTAATATATTAATTTAATGAAAATGTTCAGCATTTAATCAACATATTCTATTCGAGTACATGTCAGCTTAGTAAAAATTCAAGATACTCACATAGCAGCTATTTTGGAACTTAAAAACGAAATAAACATAAAACTAAGACTAAAAAAAACATTATGCCCTGATCTCCTATATTCAATGGGTTCAGTAAAAACAAAGAACTTCCAGTTTATCCGGTAGTTCAAATTGACAGTATTAATCGGCTGACTCGTAGTTAAAGATTGCTTGGTGTGTCCTTCAGCTTTGTTCATACTGAAGAAACTCTACCGAATTAAGGTTGGTTTACCATTCTGCAAGTCCATCGTTACCTAATTCAAACATCAGGATATATATAAATTTAATTTGGAAGTCCCGGATGGGTTTAACTTTTTTTCATGATCTTCGAAAACAGGTATATCATTTGGACTACTGGCATAGCCATTATCTACTAAGCCACTTATAAATTGCAATTTTAAATCTTGTGTATTATTGCGAAGAGCTGTAATTACGTATTAAAACAAACTTTTCTGAATTTCGAATAGTTATTTCGGAATATGAGAAGTACCACAATCCCTATAACTAAGTCCCTTAAATCGTGGATTCAAACCCTAAATGTCGGGAGTTTTGTATGTCCATCATACTGAACCAACATAAATGGTTAAGAAAGTGTACGAGTCCGAAGGAACGGCAAATAATAAAAAAAACTAAGTTATTAAAGGCATTTTAGTCAATTACATTATTAGTTTATACAATTAGACTCTTAATCAAATTTTCGAAGTCATTTCGTAAAAAATGCGAGACCGTTTACTTCTAATTTGCTTTTTATATCTACTATTTTCAATATAACTAATAAACAATTAAGTTTAATCAAAATCAATCAAATCAATCATATGCATTAACATTTTCGCTGATGGCGATAACCTGATGTCGAAATTTTAGCATGTATTTTCTATTATTTAGCTTTAAAGAGAATTTATGGAAGTTTCAACATGAACAATATTTATGAGTATATGATGATATGAAAAGTAAAATATACTATGTAAATTATATATATAATTATTTATCATTGTTGTAGCGTAAATTTATATATGTCTGCCTTCGATAAGGCTACAGGAGAGAGTGAGAGGTTGACATCCTACTTGTACAGTTGATACAAATGTGGCTTGTAACTATAATTATAGAAAGTTATCGATAATTCCGATAGTTGTTTTTGTTGGTATCGAGCTGTAAATAACTACTCGCTTAAGATTGTCGCCGTCCTCGGCAATGCTACACATTTGTTGAGTTTCGACTTGACTATAGTGTTCTTAAGGACGGTGTTGCAAACGTGCGGTAACGTCGAATAGTTTCAGGACCCCGCTGATGCTTTGTTCTGCTTGAATACCTTGTGCCGTGATTATGGGTATGCGTTTCTTTATGCCCAAGGGAGCCTCCTGATAGTAGTCAAAGATGTAATTTATGGATTCGTACAGATCGTTGATGTCAAGTACTCCCTCGTTTACCACTGTGGTCGGTTCTAGATGACCGAGTGCATAACTGATCCGCCTGGGTATAATCCTCGACGTGTTTGCAACTGTTGCGCAGCTGTTTGTGATGAGCTCTGTGCTAGCTACGGCTTTATCATCACATTTTCTCGCTTTGGCATGCGTCTGGTGTTGTTGGATGTCAGGGGCCTCTTACAAACTAGATTAACTCTTACGGCGGGATATAATCCTTAGAGTTAGTTTAGTGTTAGGTACAAACATTTGAGAGTAATATAGGCTATCTGTGAGCTGTACGGTAAAAATAGTCTCATAGGCTTAAATATTGTGGTTTTTTAACCCGGATTTGGCGAGCGTGGCAGTGAACGAAAGTTTTACATGTTCGTAAGTAGTATTTAAGTGTTATTAAAATTAACTTGTTCCTGCGTTTATGTCAGTTCTTTCATGGTCCGACTCTGTTTTTACTCTTTGAATTTACTTTATGTTGTCTTAATGGATCACCCTTCCCTTTATAAGCACGGGTGTTACTAGGTCAGTTTATATGGTCCCTTCCGAGAATACTGGGGACAACTGATAAACTAATCTCTTGTTGTTCTTCAGGAACACTCTTTCGGCTACATCGAACACCTTGTTCTGCCTTTCTGGGTTACATCGGTAAAGATTACCGTGTTGTGCCTTTGTTAACTTATCTTTAATAAATTAGAAAAACTTGTCCGGTGTGGAATGGATTATTTCACTGGGCGTTTAGTTTGTGACTGAGTGTACCGACCTGTTATATAAGGTTGTGGCCATAAGGATTTGTTCGGTCGTATCGTAATGGTGGTGCATTTATTGTGTCAATGTCATAGTTATTTTTTAAAAGTGATCCGATTGTTTAGAAATTAGCGATTCTTTATTATAACAAAATATTATTTTAGTTTTGTGGGAAAAATTTAACAATTGTAAAACTGGTTTTTTAACATTCACTATTGTTCGAGACATCAATGGTTGTACCATTGCGAATTTGGGGAACTTCTCGAAATATCAATATGCGACATCTCGATTGGGTTTGAAGCGATTGGTGCCTAGTTCCTGTTTTTTGAAATGCCTATCATATTAAGATTTTATGCACACCTTAAAGTTTGTAACAGCATCCTTAGCTAGCTTGGCCATTAAAAATAAAATAATAGTTGTGAAAGTCTTGTTTGACATTTTCCTTTGCAGCTCTATGTGCTCTATTGTGCTGAGCTGCTATTATTACGATTTGATTGTTTCTGTTTGTTACATCTGTTGTCATATTTTTACAGTATAAAAATTTGGTTGATGGGAAATTTAATACTAAATCGTGTTGGAAACTGACAAGAGTTGGAAGATCGCAATGAATTGCGTTTACGGCGTTAATTCTTGTTAATGGCTTAAGTATCTCAATAAGACTATTTTCTTCTGTAAACTTTATTGAGTGGTGCATTTTGCTATACATTAATATGATGGTTCGCTTTAACGCATAACGTACCTCCTCTACCACAATTTAATTTCTAAAATCATTTAGATGTTTGTCAGTCATTTTGACCGTGTTGCAGCGTCCGACTACGCCTCGTTTTGTAGTGCATTTATATTTTGCCTCGATAAGATATCTACCACAAAGTTCTCTGTGCTAGGATGATAGAACGCATTTGCATTGTATTCGTCAGTCACGGCTTTCCAATTTTTTATTTTGGCGTTGGTATCCACAAAGGTTAGCGGTTGATGGTCTGTGAAGACGTTGATTCTTTTAGACCATGCAAGTAATTTTGTAGTTTACCCAAAGCCCATACGATTGCTGGCAATCATCTCCTATATTAGCTTGCAAAACCTATTAGCGTTCTTAGGCTAAACAAGGTCTTCGGTTCGACATATTTTTGGATGCAACGAGCCTATTCGTTATTAGTTTTTGCTCCGCACTTGGTCAGAA